CTGCCCGATTTCTCATTTGGGACCAAAACGTCCGGGTCCATTTTGTCCTAGGACTATATTTTCCGGGGCCCTTTTGTCCGGATATCCCTGCGCACTACGTTTCGGGGATACCAGAGTTCCATTTTAGAAATCTAGCCTCGGTGATGGATTTTTGTGGAGGGGTGGAAGAGACGGTCACATGACTGCATGAATGTGTCTTAAGATCGCCAAGTGAATGTCTTTAATCATCTGATAGGTATAAATATATATAAATGAGAATTTTTTAGTCAATGGCCTGGGTGGCTTTTTTGTATTTTCATCTCGTGTGGCTTTTTTTCCGCCTTTGCCAATTCTGGGGGTCTTATTTCCGGGTGGCTTTTTTCCTAAAACCCGGAGAACGACAGGATCGTATAGCCTCCACGACCGACGTCCTTCGCTCTCTGCCTCTCCATTCGCATTCGGCCTTACCCAGTCCTACTCAGTCCTACCCAGCCCTACCCAGCCCTCCCCCCCTTTCTCATCCTGGCCTCTCTCGGCCCAGTCTCGAGCATTCAGTCTCTCCTTTTCTTTCTAATAATTTACCACCTCATCTCCCTTCTGCCGCGGCCTCGAGGTGGAACGCGTCACCCCGTGAGGCATGCTTGCTCGTTTCCGTGCAAGTTTTTTTCCTCCCTTTACCTTTTAATGAGGCACAGTCTACCCTCTAATAGATTCTATTTTATTCTTTGGAGGGAGTGAGATGCGGATTGTAAATTGCTAAGCAGTACACCAAGGGACTCTCGGGAAGGCCAAAAGTCCACTCACGATGCAATGAAAACGATGGATGAGTCATGAAGGCGTCGAACCTGCTCTCTCTCTGCTTCATGTTATCGACCTTTCCCTATTTCTCGATGAATCTCACCGGAGAGATACCATATCGTTTGGCACGTAGTGCGGAAGCCCTAATCGTGGCTACGGGAGACGGAATGTTCGAGTCATCCCGGCTCGAGCTATAATATGAGGACACCTGGGACGGAGGGTAGTAGTTCGCAAGGCTACCGAGACCCTTAGAGATCTATGCCGAGACCTGACCGAGACTACGAGAAGGGGCGAGAGGCACGAGCGAGGTCATGACCTGCACTAAGCCAGACAACGCCCCGAGTCTTCCTTTCTCATTCTTCACCAAAGAGATCACTTTGTTCTACACCGTTCCCAGAGTCATGACTCCCTTCCCGCTTCCAGTCCCGTGCGGTCTTTCCGTTCCCGTTCCGCTCCGGAAACGGATGAGCTATTCCTTCTCAGTCCCATGCCGCTCTCATTCCCAGAGCGTAGCACCATTCCTTGCACGATCAAGAACCGTACTCTCGAGATCATATCTCAAGTGACAGAAACTATTTCATTTTTGAAGTTTCCAACGATGAATGCAACCTTAAAAGCCGGTCGACAATTTCTGACAACGGTATAATTTTTCGCTGCATCGGGATTAATTCAGAGGAGCGAAGTACCCTCCCCGAAGAGGTTGAAATAGCCGAGACACACAAGAGCTACTGAGATTGGATAACGATCCCGAGTCGGTCCCCTCGCATCCATGACCGAGCTCGGTCCTGGAAAAGCTCGTCTCTTTCGATTACGGTCCGCGAAACTCGTGCGATCGATGACTGGACTCGGATTACATCCTTCGACGGTCTCGACCGTCGGTGACGACCGTATCATAAACTGCTTCGAAAATCCCATCAGAGTCGGATCGTCTCTTTGCGAAACTCTCACGCGTGAGAAATTCCTATGGTTATCTATATCGATTTACTCACGGATGAGAAGGGAGACGACGCCTCCGTTATTTATGGTATAGAAAAAAACGACCAACGACTTCCGAGCCGTGAATCTTTGCTCTCGCGAGCTACTTTAACGAAACTTGCATCGTGAATAGATCGAGACTAAGAGACATTTAAAATTTCGTCAAAATCGCTCACGTCAAAGTAAGGCAACGATAAATTTTCGAAAAGAAATGAGAAAGCGAAGAAATGACTGGAATCTCTTCCGAGAGCCTCGTTTCCTGCCTCGTCCTCCGACAGAGACGAAGAAAAAGTCTTGGATTTGTTCAAATCTGATTAAACTCTGAAAACTGTTTCGATCCTCGTCCATCCTCCTGCCATCGTTTTAGTAGGCTTTACTTCGACGACCGTGCAAGAAGAGGGAATCTTAAATGTGAGTTTGAACGAAAGACATTTGATGCGATCTGAACGATATGGAAGCAGAGGATTTCGCGCATGTCCTCCACCTCGATACCAGGATGTCCCTGGATGTCCCCTTCACCGACAGCATGTCATCGCGTTGCTTCTCTTTGCTCCTCGATCGTGGTCTCGCTTTGGAGCCATTTATTTCCGATGAGATTTCAAATCGTACCGGAAACATCCATCTATGGACGTTGAATTCCGTGGAAAAAGCTCTCGCAGAGCCGATTATTATTATTCGTACGTCTCGGCCACACATACAGAGGAGAAAGGGGTGACAAACAAAAATAAACAAGAACAGCGAACAGAAACGGCACGGAAGGGTACACATTCGCGCATCACCAGCATATTTACACTTGGAGGGGGAGAGACCTTAGCCACTCCAGGGCCTCGGGGGTGGCATGATGGATTCCGTCGAGACCTCCGGGAAAGGGGTGGAGTATGCACCTCGGCAGGTGGTCCATAGTTTGCGGAAATCCGCACGGACAGAGAGGGGTGTCGGAGTGGTCCCACTTGAAGAGGAGGTAGTTGCACCTCCCGTGGTTCGTCCGGAANTTCCTAAGAGCCTTCGTTATCTCATCCAGGGAGACCATCCCGGCCAGAGCCGAGGGGGTGGTGCAAGTGCGTCTCCAGTACGATAGCTCCTTGCGCGTCTCCCTGGCCACGGTGCGAGATGTGCAGCGCAGAGCCGAGATGCGTCGGTTTCGAGTCGTTCGTCTTTTTTTTTGCCACGTAAATGCGACGATGGGAGTAGGACTCGTCCGGTCGGATGACGATGCCGTGGAAAGTGCGTGCACTCGAGGTTTCATCCGGCCACACGCAAAACAGTCCTCGGTCTACTCGAACCCTGGAGGTCGTCCGTGCACTCGAACGCTCGAGCCGGGAAGACCTCCGTCGTTTCCAACATTTGCGCTTCCGAGGGGTAACGAATATCATTTCTCCGCCTCCTTCCTTTCTCTTATCGGCAGGCTCGGTTCTCCCTCTCGATGAAACGGCTCGCTCGTCGCAACCTTCGCTTTCGTGTTTTTTACGGACAGGCAATAAAGCGATTCGCGCTCGCTGTCATCGGTCGACGATGCCGTAAAAATGTCATCCGAGTCGACGGCATGCGTGCGTCGCCGGAAATCCGTGACGTTTTCGCGGAAAGTCGAGCTCGCGACGGATCGCCGTTTTAGGAGGCCCGTGCCGCCTCCGCTCTCGCCTTTCCCAGAGGATTTTCGGGATTCCGACGGACGTCGACGTTTCGGTGGGGTCGACCTGGAATTTCGGAGGAAAGGATCATCTTTGCTCCCCGACTCGTCGGGGAGCCCCTCTCGCACCCGCTCCCCTTGCCCTCGTTCCCCCTCGCCCCTCGGTTCGAGGGCGCCAAGAGGCTCGTCCGCCCATCACGACGTCCCGCGTTTCGATCGTGAGATACGCCTACCCTTCCTAGAGATATTTTAGTGGGAGCATAACCGCCTACTGTCGCGACTAGTCGCTTATTGCTTACGCTGCTTCCTCATTCTCCTCGTTCTCCCGATCCCCCTCCCCCCCTCCGGCGATGCTAAGGATACTTCGCCCTAGATCCAGGAGCCACCTGTGGTCCCGCTCTGATGCCTACATCATCGTTAGTGATCTTCCTCCGTGACGATCATCGGAATCAAATTTTTACTACCCTGCGTGTTTTCTCGAGTCGGATGCAGGCCAACCCGTTTGCTGTCAGATCGGCTTACGTATGACTTCTCATTATATCTTTGAAGCAAAACGCTTAGAAATTACCGTTCCGGAGGGAATCGGTGTCGTATGATATTTTTCCCCCCGTAATATTTTTCCCCCCGTAATATTTTTCCCCCCGTAATATTTTTCCCCACCTCCATTAATGGAAATGAAGCACGCGATGCGAGCCTCGGGCCTCTTGTACGTTTCTATCTCGGTTTCGATGAGATCCGTGCTCCTTCGCGAGCCGAGTTCGCACTCGTGCCGTGCGGCACGCCGAATACCGACTCCGTGTCGCCCGGCAGAAACCGTGTTTTCGGCGCATTCGAAGTCTCGGAATCCACCGAAAGACCGATGGTGTTCTGTGTCGACAGGTGACGAGGCCCGCAGAGGATGCGAGATGCCGCCGACGAGCAACAACACGCTGTGGGATTGGAAATCGGGAGCACCGGTACCAGACGGAGAGACCGTCGTCTTCCAGTGCGAAGTCGGATATTTCTTCGACGACGAGAGGAAACAGAAGTCTTTCGTCTGCTCCGAGGGTCTCGGATGGACCGACCCCGACGGGAATCCCGAGGATATTCCACCTTGCGTACGTCGCGTCCGCCCGCGTCTCGACGTCTCCTCGAGCTTCTCTTCCGGTATCGTGACGGAAATCGCTGCGGGAAAGAGTAGACTCCATCGAGTATAGGGAAGAAGAGGGAAGGAGAAGGAACGATATGGAAGGAGAGGGAAGGATCCCGACGCTGACGTAGGCGATGCGAGATGCGGAGACGGACGCGCGTGTGTCTGCCTCGACGTCTCGTATCGCCTCCTTTCGTTCCGTCGACGCTCGAGAACTCGGCTCTTCCGAACGAAACGAACACGCCTCCGTCGACGATTTCGAGCTCGAGAACACCGGGCCGCAGCGACGATCGTTCGCTGCCGGAACGACGTCGAGGAACAAATTTCTCTCGACGATTTTCTCGAACGCCGCACTCGATCGAGATCGCGGCCACCCGGGTGACGTCCTCCGGATGGACTCCGGCGGATGCTGCCGATCCGGTTCGGGCCCGCGTCGTTCGCACGGGAGGCCGTTTTTGCCGGGGTTCGCAAAAACTCGAAGGCATCGAGAGGATGGGGTCGGAACGCTTCCGAGATGCCCGAGAGGATCGAATCCGGTCGGACGGGAACGAATCCACGTGCGAGACGCGTTCCACCGGAGAAGGAGAGATGCGACTCCCCGGAGACGTCGGGAAACCTCGGAAATTCTCACCTCCCGATTCTTGGAGGGTCGGAAGCTCCACGTTCTCGATGCCGCGTCCTTTCCTTCCGTTTCCGTCGCGCCGTCGACGTTTGGAGAAGACGCAAGCGGTGCCACGTGCCGCACCGAGAAGCGTACGCGCTTCTCGATGCGGCACGCGACGACCACCGATGCGGGCCCGCGGTGGCCGGGCCGGGGGACCTCTCGCGGAGTCGAAGCGAGTCCAGAATTTCTCTCCGTTCCACTCGTCGAACGACCACCGACGATGGAATCCTCGATGGAGGCGTGCGGAGCCCGCAGAAGCGAGCCTCGATCGAGGTTTTTTTCTCGGTAGATCGACGCGAAAGGTCGCTCTTCCCACTTCCGGTACGACCGGAACGACCCGACGCGATGCGGACGTTCGCTTCTCCGAAACGGATCGCGAGAAAAGCCTAAAATCGCGTCCGCGACCCGTCGTGCCGAAAGAGCGAGTCTCTCGATCCGACGATCTCTCTCTTGCAGGTGGACGATAAACCGATCGACTTCGAGTGTACGGCAGAGAGCGGCGACGGTCTGTCCCTGGTGGCGAACTTCCACGAGACGGCACCGCACCAGGGGACGGTCGTGAGGGGACGACTGGAAGTCTGTCCCGATCCGGGATCCAACGGGTACCTTCTCCTCAGGGTCTATCCGGGAGTCTGCATCCGAGACGGGGAGGATCCCGTCGTGCCCCCGTGCCGAGGGAGATCGTCGGGTTCCCGGGCGAACGCTCGCGAACGATGGGATTTCGAGCACACCTTTCGCAACGCGACGCTGAGGGACGCGTCGGAGCTGGAGGCGATCGTCGTCAGGGCCGGCGCTTCCGTCCATTACGCGCTCACGCTCCGTCAAGACGCCGCCGCGGAATCCAAGCTCTGGCACCACGACGTCGGATCCCCCGCCGATCCGTCGAGCGACACCCGATCCGGGATATAAAAACTCTCGCGAGCGCGACGATCGATCTCGTGCCCCACGATTCCACGCGTTCCGATCGTCGACCTTCGGGAAAGGAGTTCGCCTCCTCGCTCGCACGTCTCTGCGAACTCGTCGTGTGTCGTCTTCGAGAGTGACTGATGGTGTCGATTCTCGACACGAGAGATAAAAAAGACGAATCGAGTGGCACGTCTCGCGTCCGTCACCCCGATCGAATTCGATCGAGAGCCCTTGCAACCTTCGATCCTGTTTGCTTCCCCGATGAATAAATTCTCTTCCCGCTGGCTACGATATTCCATGGACACGGGATGCACCGATCAGACCGAGTCGGGATGCACGGGATGCACGGGATGCACCGAGTCGGACGATTCGCGATGGCAGAAGATTCATCGATCGACGATTCCTCGTCGATCCTTCTTCGCAAGTCGAGTGAGATGATCTCCACCCCCCGTCGTTCGCAGACCCAAGATTCCCTCCGTGTTCGTTCCTCGAGGCGGTAAACGAGGACGGAGAGCGCCGGAGACGACATCGACAACGAGAAGCTTTCGTCTCGACTCGGCCCGGGCGCTAATATCGAAACGATACAGCGGTACGGCTCCGCACGCGTCCGATCGGTCGGGCACGGATGACGTCACGTTCGAGAGGAGCTAAGAAAAAGAACTGCAGATGGCGCACTCGTAGGAACGGTACAGGCATGCGTCCTGCGATCGGAAGACTTCGGCCCCGAAAACCTCCTTTAATTAACGGTCCTTTAAGAATACATGGAATCCTATGGGAATCCTTGTACTCCTTACGAGGACCGTCAACTAAAGGAGGTTTCGACATTCGGGCCTTACTTGTCGGTATCGTGCCGGCTCGTCACCGTTCGCTTCGATGGGATTTTCCCGATTTTTCGACCCAACTTTCTTCTAAATACTTCCACGCAGCAAACAGCCCCGACACGGCAGGCGAAAATAGGTCCTCGGAGGAACGAATAGGCCCTATCGACTTCCTTCTATGGTGCACGTGGATCCGATGCTTCGGTTTAGGCCGACGACGGTAAAGGGCGATCGGGAATAGGTCTCGGCAGAATGGCAGCGATTCGCGTGCGAAGCGATTTGCTCGTAACGGCACGAAGTCGTCGACGGCTTCGAAAGACGATCGACGCACGAGGTAAAAGAGGTCGATCGTCTCGGATCTTCTCGAAGCGATCGCGGCTTCCGTCGAAACGCTTCTCTTCGACGTCTCGTCGAACTCGTGACGTCTCTCGCTGCAGAGACGACTGGATCCTTTCGGGATGAGCACGAAGAGAGAAACGCCATCTTCGTGCGGGTATTCGCAGTCGACCCGAAGAGCGTATCGCAACGAGGGTAGAATGAATGCATAGGCGAAGTCCATGATCGTATCGGAAACGGGGTGTAGCTAATTTATGACGAAGAAGGAACGACCGATGGATCTAAAAAAAAAAACCGCTCTTGCTCGTAGGTGGAACTTTGAACCGCTCGTCCGCGACCGCACCGAGATGCTCGACGTCGGACTTCTGGGGAACGGTCTCTCGTTCCTTCCGTGGATGGTCTTTTCGTCTTTGGTCTTTCCGAAGATGGAACGCAAGAGGTTCGTTTCCCAGAATCAGGAGGTGGATATTTTTTGCCCATGCCCATGCCCATGGTGCATTCCGATTCCCAAGGCTCGAAGCGTCGAGACTGCGATCGCGAAACGTGGATTTTTGGCATCGATCCGGGTCGAGGACCGAGCCGTTTCCGAGCGGACCGACGCGACCCGCCCGACGCACTCGCCGGGGAAACGAATCCGAGTCGATCTCGTCGAGGATTCCGTCGAGGACGACCGCGTCGTCGGTACGCTTCGATACCGCGTCGTTCGAACGAGACGAACGAAGCGGATCGTCGCGTCGGTGCCACGAGCGAACGAGAGAGGAGATCGAACTCCACCGTTCGATCTCTCTTCGAGGCTCGCGTACCGAGTTCGGAGGAGCGTCGAAAACCACCGTGGGATTCCGTCTCGAGCCGGTCGGGTCGGCGATTCGCCGCGATCCGGACGGTCGAACGCCGACGAGCGGTCGAGAAAAACGCATCCGACGAGACGCCGCGCGGATCGATTCGAGATCGACGCCGCGCGACGAAGGAGAGGGGCCGAAGCGTCGGAGACGGAACGCCCTCTTTCGCTGCGTGCAGGACGGTCGAGGCGAACGCGTTCCGAGGATCCGAGCGGGAAGTGCGAGCCACCCGAGGGTCGCAGATCTTCGGGTTCGACGACGGAACGTTTCGGAGGGACGGGCGACGTCTTCGCGGTCCGAGCGGAAGGTGGAATCTTTCCGGAAGAAAGCCGCGAGTCGGACGGTCGCGATGGACCCGGTGAGTCCGTCGGCGCACGTCGAGAGCGCCCGCGATCGCCGTCCCGATCCCCGGAGAAGGGAAGGGGAGGAGGGGGTCGCAGTCCGTTCGTCCGCGAAGCGACCACCAGTGGGCAACTCTTTTCATACGGAATCCGGTCGAACCGACTTTTTCGTTTCGGTCGGCTATTCATCGCGAGACTTCGTAACGATGTCGCATCATTCGTTCGTACGTTCTCGAGCGACCGAGAATGCGTTTACCGAACCCTCGTTTCGAACGACGAGTCGAAACGTATGGAGTCTCTCGCGTTCGGTCGACTCGCCCGTTCCGCGAACCCCGGATGAAACGCCTCGAGCGCGACGCCCGACGTCGGTCGATTCGGAATCGACCGACAATAGAGAAAGAAAATCGACAGAGAAAGCAAAAGGAGAGATCCTTCGTTCGTCGTGAAAAAAAAGTCACGTGCGTCGTGCTCGTCGCGCGAGGAAGAGCGTCCTCGCGCGACACCGTTCGATCGTCGTCCCGTCGAACCCCGGTCCGCAGAGGACGCGACGTTTCCGAGAGAGCCGATCCGGATTCGGGCGAACTCGCGGACGTTCCGGGGAGGGAAGAGACGGCGGTCGAGGCCGAGGGAAACCATCGCCGGGAAGGACGAACGAAGATCCGAGATCGAGAGATCGCGGAGAAGGAGATGCGATCGCCTGCCGCTTCCGAGAGGTCGGAGGTGCAAAACGTCGGGGAACGCGTCGAGAAAGTCGTCGGTCGGCCTTTCGATCCGCCGGTGATGCCGATGCCCGGTTCCAGCCGTTGCAAATCGCTTCAATAGGTTTTTTTTCCCCCGAAACGAGCAGCAGGGAAAGGTGGGGTAAAACGGGGTGTCCCTGTGGCGCAAAACGGGGTACTCCTCCAAATATCGTCATACGAAGTTTTTATTCGTGATATACGCCTATTAAGATGGGTCACAGAACAGAAACATCGATGAAATATCTACAAACGGCAAACTAATGATTTTCCATATGTTTTCCCGTGTCTTCTCGTTTCGTGCTCTGTTCGCAGAACAGAGACCGCAACGAAACGTCCACAAATGACAAACAGATGCTTTCTCTCGTTTCCCCAGGTCTTCATTCTTACGAAGGTCAAAGAACAGAAACAGGAACGAAACATCGACAAATAAACAGTGGTTTTTTTTTCTCGTGTTTTCCCATATCTTCATCGCATGCCTATTTACCGAGGCCTCGGAACGGAAAGAACGATGAAACTTTTAAGGTAAAACGATCGTTGCCGTTTCGAATCGTCATCCGTGCGTTCGTCGTGGATGCAAATTTCCAGACGCGACAGAAAAAGACGTCCTCGTCCGTGTCGCCGTCGATGCCTGCACGGCCGTCGCGAGCCGAATTCCGGCGACTCGACCTTCACTGGGTTTTCGGCGAGAGAAACGATCCGAACGGTAACACATCGCGTCGGCCTGGGCCGAACCATCGGAATGGATATTCTAGCGAGAGGAGAATAGATACATACAGGTAGAGCTGTGGTTTAGGAAAAAAGCCACCCGGAAATAAGACCCCCAGAATTGGCAAAGGCGGAAAAAAGCCACCCGGAATAATGCCACCCGGAAATAAGGTATCCGGACAAAATGGCCCCGGACAAAATGGCCCCTAAT